GTCAGCACGTTACATGCAGTACCAACGAGGGGACGTGGTTGTGCTCAGGTGGGTGGGTGGGTGGGTGGGGGTGCAAGGGTTGGGGAGGGGGAGGGGGAAAGGGAGGGTAGGTCCTTCCTGGACAGGCTGTCAGCACGTTACATGCAGTACCAACGAGGGGACGTGGTTGTGCTCAGGTGGGTGGGTGGGTGGGTGGGGGTGCAAGGGGTTGGGGAGGGGGAGGGGGAAAGGGAGGGTAGGTCCTTCCTGGACAGGCTGTCAGCACGTTACATGCAGTACCAACGAGGGGGACGTGGTTTGTGCTCAGGTGGGTGGGTGGGTGGGTGGGGGTGCAAGGGGTTGGGGAGGGGGAGGGGGAAAGGGAGGGTAGGTCCTTCCTGGACAGGCTGTCAGCACGTTACATGCAGTACCAACGAGGGGACGTGGTTGTGCTCAGGTGGGTGGGTGGGTGGGTGGGGGTGCAAGGGGTTGGGGAGGGGGAGGGGAAAGGGAGGGTAGGTCTTCCTGGACAGGCTGTCAGCACGTTACATGCAGTACCAACGAGGGGACGTGGTTGTGCTCAGGTGGGTGGGTGGGTGGGTGGGGGTGCAAGGGGTTGGGGAGGGGGAGGGGGAAAGGGAGGGTAGGTCCTTCCTGGACAGGCTGTCAGCACGTTACATGCAGTACCAACGAGGGGACGTGGTTGTGCTCAGGTGGTGGGTGGGTGGGTGGGGGTGCAAGGGGTTGGGGAGGGGGAGGGGGAAAGGGAGGGTAGGTCCTTCCTGGACAGGCTGTCAGCACGTTACATGCAGTACCAACGAGGGGACGTGGTTGTGCTCAGGTGGGTGGGTGGGTGGGTGGGGGTGCAAGGGGTTGGGAGGGGGAGGGGGAAAGGGAGGGTAGGTCCTTCCTGGACAGGCTGTCAGCACGTTACATGCAGTACCAACGAGGGGACGTGGTTGTGCTCAGGTGGGTGGGTGGGTGGGTGGGGGTGCAAGGGGTTGGGGAGGGGGAGGGGGAAAGGGAGGGTAGGTCCTTCCTGGACAGGCTGTCAGCACGTTACATGCAGTACCAACGAGGGGACGTGGTTGTGCTCAGGTGGGTGGGTGGGTGGGTGGGGGTGCAAGGGGTTGGGGAGGGGGAGGGGGAAAGGGAGGGTAGGTCCTTCCTGGACAGGCTGTCAGCACGTTACATGCAGTACCAACGAGGGACGTGGTTGTGCTCAGGTGGGTGGGTGGGTGGGTGGGGGTGCAAGGGGTTGGGAGGGGGAGGGGGAAAGGGAGGGTAGGTCCTTCCTGGACAGGCTGTCAGCACGTTACATGCAGTACCAACGAGGGGACGTGGTTGTGCTCAGGTGGGTGGGTGGGTGGGTGGGGTGCAAGGGGTTGGGGAGGGGAGGGGGAAAGGGAGGGTAGTCCTTCCTGGACAGGCTGTCAGCACGTTACATGCAGTACCAACGAGGGGACGTGGTTGTGCTCAGGTGGGGGTGGGTGGGTGGGGGTGCAAGGGGTTGGGAGGGGGAGGGGGAAAGGGAGGGTAGGTCCTTCCTGGACAGGCTGTCAGCACGTTACATGCAGTACCAACGAGGGGACGTGGTTGTGCTCAGGTGGGTGGTGGGTGGGTGGGGGTGCAAGGGGTTGGGGAGGGGGAGGGGGAAAGGGAGGGTAGGTCCTTCCTGGACAGGCTGTCAGCACGTTACATGCAGTACCAACGAGGGGACGTGGTTGTGCTCAGGTGGGTGGTGGTGGGTGGGGGGTGCAAGGGGTTGGGGAGGGGGAGGGGGAAAGGGAGGGTAGGTCCTTCCTGGACAGGCTGTCAGCACGTTACATGCAGTACCAACGAGGGGACGTGGTTGTGCTCAGGTGGGTGGGTGGGTGGGTGGGGGTGCAAGGGGTTGGGGAGGGGAGGGGGAAAGGGAGGGTAGGTCCTTCCTGGACAGGCTGTCAGCACGTTACATGCATACCAACGAGGGGACGTGGTTGTGCTCAGGTGGGTGGGGTGGGTGGGTGGGGGTGCAAGGGGTTGGGGAGGGGGAGGGGGAAAGGGAGGGTAGGTCCTTCCTGGACAGGCTGTCAGCACGTTACATGCAGTACCAACGAGGGGACGTGGTTTGTGCTCAGGTGGGTGGGTGGGTGGGTGGGGGTGCAAGGGGTTGGGAGGGGAGGGGGAAAGGAGGGTAGGTCCTTCCTGGACAGGCTGTCAGCACGTTACATGCAGTACCAACGAGGGGACGTGGTTGTGCTCAGGTGGGTGGGTGGGTGGGTGGGGGTGCAAGGGGTTGGGGAGGGGGAGGGGAAAGGGAGGGTAGGTCCTTCCTGGACAGGCTGTCAGCACGTTACATGCAGTACCAACGAGGGGACGTGGTTGTGCTCAGGTGGTGGGTGGGGGGTGGGGGTGCAAGGGGTTGGGAGGGGGAGGGGAAAGGGAGGGTAGGTCCTTCCTGGACAGGCTGTCAGCACGTTACATGCAGTACCAACGAGGGACGTGGTTGTGCTCAGGTGGGTGGGTGGGTGGGTGGGGTGCAAGGGGTTGGGGAGGGGGAGGGGGAAAGGGAGGGTAGGTCCTTCCTGGACAGGCTGTCAGCACGTTACATGCAGTACCAACGAGGGGACGTGGTTGTGCTCAGGTGGGTGGGTGGGTGGGTGGGGGTGCAAGGGGTTGGGGAGGGGGAGGGGGAAAGGAGGGGTAGGTCCTTCCTGGACAGGCTGTCAGCACGTTACATGCAGTACCAACGAGGGGACGTGGTTGTGCTCAGGTGGGTGGTGGGTGGGTGGGGGTGCAAGGGTTGGGGAGGGGGAGGGGGAAAGGGAGGGTAGGTCCTTCCTGGACAGGCTGTCAGCACGTTACATGCAGTACCAACGAGGGGACGTGGTTGTGCTCAGGTGGGTGGGTGGGTGGGTGGGGTGCAAGGGGTTGGGGAGGGGGAGGGGGAAAGGGAGGGTAGGTCCTTCCTGGACAGGCTGTCAGCACGTTACATGCAGTACCAACGAGGGGACGTGGTTGTGCTCAGGTGGGTGGGTGGGTGGGTGGGGGTGCAAGGGGTTGGGAGGGGGAGGGGGAAAGGGAGGGTAGGTCCTTCCTGGACAGGCTGTCAGCACGTTACATGCAGTACCAACGAGGGGACGTGGTTGTGCTCAGGTGGGTGGGTGGGTGGGTGGGGTGCAAGGGTTGGGGAGGGGAGGGGGAAAGGGAGGGTAGGTCCTTCCTGGACAGGCTGTCAGCACGTTACATGCAGTACCAACGAGGGACGTGGTTGTGCTCAGGTGGGTGGGTGGGTGGGTGGGGGTGCAAGGGGTTGGGGAGGGGAGGGGGAAAGGGAGGGTAGGTCCTTCCTGGACAGGCTGTCAGCACGTTACATGCAGTACCAACGAGGGGACGTGGTTGTGCTCAGGTGGGTGGGTGGGTGGGTGGGGTGCAAGGGGTTGGGGAGGGGGAGGGGGAAAGGGAGGGTAGGTCCTTCCTGGACAGGCTGTCAGCACGTTACATGCAGTACCAACGAGGGGACGTGGTTGTGCTCAGGTGGGTGGGTGGGTGGGTGGGGGTGCAAGGGGTTGGGGAGGGGGAGGGGGAAAGGGAGGGTAGGTCCTTCCTGGACAGGCTGTCAGCACGTTACATGCAGTACCAACGAGGGGACGTGGTTGTGCTCAGGTGGGTGGGTGGGTGGGTGGGGGTGCAAGGGGTTGGGGAGGGGAGGGGGAAAGGGAGGGTAGGTCCTTCCTGGACAGGCTGTCAGCACGTTACATGCAGTACCAACGAGGGACGTGGTTGTGCTCAGGTGGGTGGGTGGGTGGGTGGGGGTGCAAGGGGTTGGGGAGGGGGAGGGGGAAAGGGAGGGTAGGTCCTTCCTGGACAGGCTGTCAGCACGTTACATGCAGTACCAACGAGGGGACGTGGTTGTGCTCAGGTGGGTGGGTGGGTGGGTGGGGGTGCAAGGGGTTGGGGAGGGGGAGGGGGAAAGGGAGGGTAGGTCCTTCCTGGACAGGCTGTCAGCACGTTACATGCAGTACCAACGAGGGGACGTGGTTGTGCTCAGGTGGGTGGGTGGGTGGGTGGGGGTGCAAGGGGTTGGGGAGGGGGAGGGGGAAAGGGAGGGTAGGTCCTTCCTGGACAGGCTGTCAGCACGTTACATGCAGTACCAACGAGGGGACGTGGTTGTGCTCAGGTGGGTGGGGGTGGGTGGGGGTGCAAGGGGTTGGGGAGGGGGAGGGGGAAAGGGAGGGTAGGTCCTTCCTGGACAGGCTGTCAGCACGTTACATGCAGTACCAACGAGGGGACGTGGTTGTGCTCAGGTGGGTGGGTGGTGGGTGGGGGTGCAAGGGGTTGGGGAGGGGAGGGGAAAGGGAGGGTAGGTCCTTCCTGGACAGGCTGTCAGCACGTTACATGCAGTACCAACGAGGGGACGTGGTTGCGCTCAGGTGATCCGGAGAGGAGGGGGGGGGGGAGGAGGGGGGGGCTCTGTTCCGCGCTTCCTGAACAGGCTGTCTGCACACTACATGCAGTACCAACGAGGGGATGTGGTCGTGGCTCGGGTGCTTCCGGGGAGGAGATGGGGGAAGGGGAGAGGGAGGGAGGAAGGGCGCTGTTCCGCACTTCAAGGACAGGCTATCAGCGCGCTATTTGCAATACCAGCGCGGGGACTTGGTGGCACTCAGGTGATCTTAAGGGGGGGAATGGGGGGGCGGGGGGAGGAGGGGGAGTAGCCGGGGTGTGGGTGGGGGCTTGGTGGGCTGGTGGGTTGGCCTCTTGAACAGGCTGTCAGCCGGCTACATGCAGTACCAAACAGTTCACGCTTCCCTGGGTTGATAATTTCGTTCCGAGGCGTCTTAAAACGAAATTATCAACTCACGGCTGTTGCTACATGCAGTGCCAACAGTGCACGTTTCCCTCCGACCCTAACCAACAAGTGCCTCAGAAAAACTGTCAACTAGTCTCCCGTTCCTTCGCCAGCCAATTCCGCTCTCTCCCTCCCCTTCCACCCTTCCTCTCCCCTCCCCTTTTCTTCCCCTCTTGCAACAGTGCAGGTCTCCCACTGACCCCGACCTGTGCCTCATAAAGCGCCTCATCGCATTACAGGACGACTGGGTCACAGTGCCGGGTGGCTGCGATGACGTCAGCGGCAGTGGCAGCAGCACCAGCAGGGGTGATGACGTCATCAGGCGGATCCCCAAGGGGCACTGCTGGGTGGAAGGGGACAACGCTGATGTCAGCGAGGACTCGAAACACTTTGGCCCGGTACGTTTGCTCATGTGCATGCCACTTGGTATGTGTACTGATCTGCATGTTGCTTGCATGGTATGTGTGCTAGCTATAATACATGTTGCTTGATAAGTCTGCAGTTTTACATCTCACAGACAAAATTTGTGAGTTTCCTGCTTGCTTCAACAGGCAGCGCATCATGCTGTTTGTACGAGCACAGCAACTCCCCCTCCCCCCCCTTCCAGGTGTGTTTCGAGTCGACTCAAAACACACTTTTGGGTCGATTCAAACACACCTTTTGAGTTTTGCTTGCTGCAACAGGCAGCGCATCATGCTGTTCGTACGAGCACAGCAACCTCCCCCTTCCTTCCCCTTCCCCCCAACTTATCATGTATCCATGCTCCCGTAGTCAAGGGTATTATCCATGCTCCTGTAGTCAAGGGTATTATCCATGCGGAATCGAATGTGGCAAGCTGAAGGGCGAAGTGTGACTCATTGCTTGCAGTGTGGAGACCTAGTGGAACTATGAGCCTATCACCCTCGTCTCCCCCCCTGCTCCCCTCCTCCTCCGCCTACCCCTCCCCCTCCCCCCTTCGCTCTTTCTCTTTTACACCCCCCTTGCTCTGCAAGTGCTCCTCCCAGGTACCCTCAGCGCTGCGGGGCGGTTCGGTCCCTGCATTGTGTGTCCACCACACGGATTGCGGTTCGCCTCATTCCTGCTCTGCTCCCTCGCATTCCACCCACATTCCCCTCTCGCCCCACCCACGCCTCCCAGGTGCCAATTGCGCTGCTGGAGGGCCGCGTGCGCTGCATAGTGTGGCCGCCGCACAGAATAGGAACAGTGGAGAGCCGACTACCCGAGGGGAGAGTGCTGCCTTTTTAAGCAACAGCGATAGCACCGATGCCACTTGGTTCAAATTCCGTCTCTGAAACACCGCAAGCCACGCGGTGCATTGTCTGGTTGCTGCACAGATTAGCGGGAGTGAAGAACCGACTGCCTGAAGGGAGAGTGCTTCCCTTAGAGCAACAGAGATAGCAGCACCGCCACTTGGCAGCGTACGATCTGCTTGGGAGGCCATTCGGTTATTGGAGTGCGTGCCACATTGTTCGTTTGCCACACAAAATAGGGAGTGGAGAGTCGACTGCCCAGGGGGAGAGCGCTTCCCATCAACCATCAGAGATAGCCTCACTGGAGGCTCCTTGGTGTACGATCTGCTTGGGAAGTTACTCAACTATAAGTGTACTGTACCCCAATAGATGTGTTGGTTGGAGCATTGGAAGTGATGCAATGTTTGTTCCCTCGAAACAAGGTTCGCCTGACAGACTGATCAGAGTCAATGTTTGCTTGCTCCACTTACAGCATGAACCATTGCCACCATGCACTTTCACAATGGGTGCTCTACATACTGCAAAACCCGAAAGGAAAAGGGCTGCCATGCCGTGCCATGCCTCTCTTCCTCATTTCATCTCGAGTCTGTGCGCAACTACTATTCCAGGTTTCATTACCGGTTCCAGCGTCATCAGGTCCAGCAGCAGCCTCTCTTCTTGCTCCAAGCATCTCTGCGAATTTCTTGCCTGGGCTGTCCATGTCTCTCTTCTGCAATTCATCTTGTGTCTGCGCTGTTCCGGGACTCATTACCAATTCCAACATCATCAGATCCAGCAGGGGGAGCCTCTCTCCTTGCTCCAAGCGTCTCTGCGAATTTTGAACCCACAGCAGATTGATCCCCTTCGTTCATGTGCCACTCTGCTGCTGCCTGGTGCACCTGGCAAAGGAAAATTGCGGGGAAAACAACAATAGCGCTAGAAAGGGCATGGTGTGCCATGGATTGAGGGGGGTACCCTGGTAATTGCTCCGTAAATAGGGCAAGCGTGTCAGGGATGCAGGAACAACAACGGAAGCGCTATGAACACGGGTGTGACTGACAATGTGATGTAAGAGCGCCACAATGACGTGTATGGTAGAAGATCCCGAGATGAAGAGAGGGTTTACCTGGTGACTGAGAGGGGAGAACCACTGAGAAATGGCATCAATTCGTGGTTGGATGGCTGCTTTGCCCTTCACTGGGATGTCCTCAAGCTGATGGTGATGGGTGAGGGGTAGTAACATGAACAGTAACAGGAGAGCATTGGGAAACGGCGTCCACACATGGCTGAGATGGGATGTTGTAACGCTGATGGCGATATGGGGACAGGAGAACTACGGACACGAATTGCTAAGCGGATGATTGGTATGATGGGGAGAATGACGGGGGGGGGAGAGGATGAGAAAGATGCACTTGAATATATATATATATATATATATATATATATATATATGTATGTATATAGAGGATCCACCACCAGGACAACATCGAATCACAGAAACTACACTACCATTAGCACAGACGCCTGCACTAGTGATAGCACAACGCACCGACTGAATTTCCAAAGCTCGGAAGGTGGCTGCAACGGCGAGAGCAGTCCCCCCAGCTACAATCACGGTGGCTATAGCGAATGATTTGGTCACTGCACACATCCAAGAAAAACACATGGCAAAAGTGGGACTAAAAAAAGGGGGTGGGAGGCAACAGAGAGGAAAGGAAACACTTGGTCACGGTGCAGTGGAAAAAAGAGGGGAGGGAAGGGGGGGGAAAGGCGGGGGGGGGGGGGGGAGGGAGGAGGGGGGAAGGGGGAAGGGGAGGAGAGGGGAGACAGGGGTGGGCTTTTGGGGCAGGAGCAGAGATCAGGGTGGGGTTCATGGGCAAGAATCGGAGCGTTTCAGGGTTTCACTCTCCTCACTCCCCCTAACACCCGCCCAAGCCAACTCCTTTTCCGTCTCTCCCTCTCACCCACGCAGAGGGCTATGGCCTCTGAACACCTGGTGACTCTGGCCCCCTCTGCCCCCCCATCTTTAATCCCCCCACCCCACCCCCACCCCCCCGCACCCTCCACCTCCCCCTCCCCGCTTTCTCTCCCAACACCCACCCAACACCCACCCAACACCTTCCCCTTCCTCTCTCCCCTTCCCCTCCCCCCTCCCCTCTCCCCTTCCTTCCTCACACACACCCACCCATGCGTAGGGCTTGCGCCATGCCCTCTGCCGTGGCCTTGTCTGGCCCACGTGGCCTCCTCTCGTTGGCTGTGGAGGGAGAAGGCATGTGCGCGCCATCGAACGATATCTGGTATCTAGGAGCACAAGAAAGGGTAATGGCACAACGGAAGCAGGATCGTTTTGTGAGTCGACTCAAATTTCATCAGACGTGTGCGTGTCATCGAATCTTGAGACGTCCCAAAACTGTATTGAGTCGACTCAAAATGTATCAGGCGTAGGCGTGGCATCGAATGGCACCCCCCAAGGCTTCCCCCAACGCACCAGGGAATTTCAGCAGCTCTGGCACCATTCGCACCGGATCTCACCTGTCGAGCACACACACAACACACATTTGCACCGCATTCCACCTGTCTAAACCGCACTCACTTGCTCCTGCCGAGCCTCGTCTCTGGAACATGTCCCAATGCTCCCTCCAAAGCACCAGGCAATCCCGAAGACGCTCTGCTGACGTGTGCAGATGCACCAGGCGCTGATCTGCTGACGTGTGCGAATCTGTTATCAACTCCATCTCTCTCGGTCATAGTATCTCCACTTCCACCCGGCGAATGCCTTACGTCAATCAACGGTTCAGATCGGCTCGCGAGAGGCAATCGATGGCTGAGGATTTCCGGGAGCACATCCACGGCATCCTCGAGGTTGGTAGTTGCAGGAGGGGATGCTGACGTGGCATCGCCATTGCTGCTTACAGAGTGGGCTTCGGTGTTATTCTGGGAACGCAATTGAGCGGACTCCCTTAATCTGCTCGCCTGCAACTCGCTTTCCTATAAAACGTGAGGAATCCATATGACACGAGGCAGGGGGAAGCGTATGACACGAGGGGTGAAACGAGCGGAATCTAGAAAAAGACGCACAGAGAAGAATGCCGCATTCGAAACAGATGGCGTTTGGACGACATCGTGGCGATACAAGAACAATTGAAACGAAGAGGGAAGAGAAACTATGAAATTGAACAACCTGGACTTCGAAAATATGGGGAGAAGGGAAGCGGGGAGAGGGGGGGAGAGAGGGGAAGTGGGGGGGGGGGGGGGAAGAGGATGTGACTCGCTGGTATAACTGCTGGGATAGGCGTCCTTACTTGTTTGAAGTAACTGTTCTCTGATGCTCCGCGTCGAAACCGGAGAAAGCTCATAGTTCGCTGAAACAGAACACGACCGAATGAAATGGAGCGAACCAGAAGGGATAAAATTTGTACTGAAATGCGAGGGTAGTGGTAGGATACTGCTGGAGTGCCCAAGGAGACTACGTAGGGATTAAAACCCGGATCCCAAGTTGCAAGGCGCGAGTTTTTTTGCTAGCAATATCGTAGCGCAAAAAAGTGGGTAACCCCATGCACCTGGATGAAGCTGAACATTGACGCGGTGGCTGTAAAAGGGGGCTCGTGATTGGTCGAAGGCAAGCAAACACCTTCGCCCAAGCAGCCCAAACCCCCGGCTCTCTCTCAGCTCAAACGGGTAAGGGAAAGTTGCTATCAATTTTTGTAAATTGGGACCAAGCCGTGACCGACTAGTGACTAGAAACAGGGCCTAAGATATCAACCTTAAAACCCTGGTTTGCTTAATTTCAATGGCTGTTTTTTCTATTGTGTATGATTTTCCTGTGTATGCAAATTGCCCATTGAGACTTATTCTTGAACAACAGGTTCCTCACAAGCCTTTGTATCATTTGCATTAGCCAATGCCAAGATATGGCCTGGACCCGAAACCCAAATCAGCCTAAAAAGCCTGATATCCCAGGGCCTGACTAGAAACTAGCCAGCATACGGGGTTTCTTGCGCGCGTAGCCAAGCCTAGACGGAACTGCGCGCCATAAGGAATGATAGCGATAATGACGCAGATCCCGCGACGATCGGCTAAGCATTGCGAACTGCTGATAACAGTTCCCGAGGGAGGAAGTGACGCGGGAGCATCGAGAGAGTGGCGTAGAAGCAGGGATGGAGCGCCGCTGCGAACAGCGAGGGATAGGCACGACAGAGGCCAAGATCACTGGTGGGACGCGATAGGAGCGACCTCGTGGAGCGATAGCAGGGACGGCAGTGACCCGATAGCAGGGACGGAGTGACGCGACAGCAGGGACAGAGTGACACTGTAACGCATGGCCTCTGCATAGTACACGGGCCTAGAAACGACCGTCCCAACCACCTTTCACAAATTGGCCACCTAGGTAGCGCGAAATGGGAAGGAAGGGTTGGGAGGGGAGGATTGGGATTGGTCGATACTTGGGACCAATCAGATTTTAGTTGTACAAATTGAGTTGACGAAATTCCCAACACATGCGATGGTTGGATTTGCGACCAGTCAGAACCAGGGAGTTGGTTGGCAATGCAAACTCAACTCGAATATTCTTATGCTGTACACTATATGCTAATCTGAATACATTGTTGTAAACCTCTTATTGGTTGGAAATCCAACCCTTTTGCCACATAGGCCAGCTCACCTCCTTGGAGCCATGGAGGAGATTGAGCATCTGCTGGGAGTCATTGGAAGGGGTCTGGGCTGAGAAGCTCATTCTCAACTTCCCACTCTAAGAAATCAATCTTGAAATGTGATTTTTCCCCAAGTCATGAGCTCTCCTCACAAGCTTCCCTACACTAGTGGCTTCTAGTGTGATCTCCTAAGGGAAGCCCTACCCAACCAGAGCCTCAAGCGTTATTCTTCAAGGGCCTTCTTCAAGCTTAAGCTATCTCTTAGAGGAGGTCCCTCATAAATACCACGCTAGGGGATCGTTAGTTGATTTTGTACTCCATTTATAACCTAGGATCTTGGATGTTGGGTTTGGACTTCAACCCTTGTTGCCCATGATATAAGGGCAAGGGTTGTTACATTGGTATTCAGAGCAAGGTTAATCATAAGCCTTGTGGGATTTTTCTTGATCTTTTTTTTATTTTTAGAGGGGTGATTGGATCTCAATCCAAGACATTGAAGTGAAGATTTCAAGATTTTTCAAGGCATTTCAAACTTCTCCAAGTCATTTTGAAGAGCTTCTCCAGGATCTTCATCAACTCCAACCCCTCTCAAGACCATTTTCCGCTACAACCTCTTCTCTTACCTCCACAATTCAAGTTTTGAAGAGAGATAATATTCTCTCTTGCCCACCTTGTTGGTGGAAGGCTCCCTTATGGAGTGTGTTTCAGATCTGTGATCTGTTGCAAGATCTAGTTTAGATCTTGCCCTAGCATTGAGGTGCTAGGGATTGGGCAACATATTATATTTTTTGTAATTTCTCATTTTAAGTTATTCTGTTAAGAGATCTCTTTATTGAGATTGTCTTTCCCTCTCACTGCGGTGATTGGGACTTGAACAAAGTTCTTAAGAGATTTTAAAGAACATTTCAGATCTGCTGAAATATCTTCCTTGTTTTACCATGACTTCAAGTCAAGTTTTAGAGAACTTGGAAAGGGAGGAGCCTAATGTGACTCTTGAGGGAGCCAACCTTGCTGCTAGTAATAACCAACAGCAAGATAAGGCTATGGCTGATATTGAATTGGTGGACCTAAATTTGGAGAATGAGGGCAATGAAGAGCATGGAGAAGCAGAAGGGATTGATGGAGCAGAGGAGGAGGATGATGGCATCGAGGCATGGTCGCTCTCCGATGATGTGGCTAAACTCCAGGCACAATTCTCCGAGCAGCAGCTTACAATCAATCAGCAGAAGGGACACATCAACTCCCTCAATATTGCTTTGGCGACACAAAAGGCCGACACGACTAGGCTGCAAGCCGATCTCAACATGGCATACGGAGAGGTACGGGATCACAAGCATCTGTTACATAACCGGGGCAATCAAATCCTGGCTCTGGAGAAAACGTGCGACCAGCTGCAAGCTACTATTACCCAACTGCAGACTACAACCGCCCAGCTGCAATCTACCATCGCCCCGATGCAACCTGCTATTGCTCACCTGCAGAACCAGTACAGGGATATTCGGAGGGGTCCTATCTATCAACACTCACCCGCTACTGCTGGCCCATCGGGCACCCAATCCAACCCGCCGCCTGCTACAGCTCCTTCAACTGCAGCACCTCAGTAGCTTGTCTAGCCTATGGCAACGCCTTTTGGCTCGCTCCCCACTGCGCTCCCAAAATTCATCCATGGCAAGACGGATGTTGAGAACTGGGTGACAACTGTGGATGAAATGCTGACTCTCCATAACGTGCGCAACAACGCTCGTGTCACCGCTGTCTCTGGCGTGTTGGATGAGCATGCTAGTCAAACCATGTTTGCTAGCCGGAAGCAGCTCGAAGCAAGTGGAAAGTTTTTCACTTGGGACGAGTTCTGTGCTGCAATGAAAGTGGCTTTCCTTGTCAAGACAACTGACTTGGAGGTGCGTCGTCGCCTTGAAAACATCAAGTGCGGCGATCGCTCTGTGCAGAAATATGCACAAGAGTTTGAGAGCGTTCTGCGACTGCTGGGCAAGCAACTGTCTGAGAATGAAGTTATGTATATCTTCTTCCAGAACTTGCCCTAGTCCCTGCAGGATAAGCATGTCGCAAATGGCCTCAACAAATGGAGCACCTACAAGGAGCTCAAAGAGGCGGTTCAAGCAACGGACAAGACTGTTCGTATGCTAGCAACGCCTTCCACCAACCAGCCTGAGTCGAGGACTCAGACGAAGGGTGATGGTGGCAATGGAGGTGGTGGCCAGTGGAATTCCAAGGGGAAGGGCCAAGGGTACAAGAGGCCCTTCCACCAGAATGGTAACCAGCAGCGTCCTCCGGCTAAGAGGGCGAATGGTGGCGGTTACAAAGGGCCGCCAAGGGACTTCTCTAATGTCGTCTGCCGAGGGTGTGGCCGCCGTGGTCACATGGAATTTCAGTGCCGCTATAGGAATATCATAAAGCATAGTGGTAAGCCTAAGGGAAACAACAATGGCAGCGAAGGACCTTCTGGCAGTAAGAAGGATTTTCAGAAGTCCAACTAGGGTGTGGGTACCTAGTCGGTCAGATAGATCGAGGGGATGAGGCATATGCTTTATGTGACGATGATTTACTAAAGCTAGAGAAGCTTGCTGAATGCAAAATCTCTTGTTTGTTTGCCTATTCTTTTAATAAAAAACCAATGTTTGCACCTCGATCGTACCCACTTGATGCTATATCCATCGAAGCGTTACGAGATAAATTCTCAGTCGTTTACTGTGGCCTGGAAACATTGCCTTCTGTAGTCAATATTGTGAGTCGTTGTACTCAAGAGCACCCCCTGACTGCGGTCGCCGTGGTGACTCGTACAGTAAAGGGCGAAACTTTCAAATCGCTTCGTGGATGGGTTGTGCTGGCGTCTTGGGACAAGGGACACCATGTGTGGTGGACCAAATCAGAATCCTTTGGACGAGCCCGCCACAATGTCAAGGTGTACTACAAACCCTTGTCGAACATTGTGGCATGCCCCATTCGCCCAATGCATCAACAAAATCTACTCCTTTCGGGTCGCGTTAACGGACCTAGCGCGAAAATTCTTGTCGATACAGGTGCCACTGTTTCCCTCTTTGATGAAAAGTGGGTCACACCGCTTGGGATCCTCGTTGAAGGACCGTCATGTCCCATTCGTCTTGGTGACGACAGTCTTATCCCAAGCAAAGGACGGACAATGATCGACATGGAAATCCAAGGCTATAGCGAAAAGATTCGCACTTACGTTCTCCCCTTGCTTGCGGGTGTCGACGTAGTCTTGGGAATGGATTGGTTACGTGCAAATGAGGTTATTCTGGATTTCCAGGATAACACAGTTTCTTTCACCAAGAATGGTGAACCAATCCAGTGGCAGGTGTCTGTCGACACAACCATCCCGGTGGTTCAAATTACGAAAAGTCCAGACGTGTGCTTTGCTCTTGCATGTCAATTCGGACAGCATTACCGCATTGCTAACACACTTTTCGTCATACAGCTCGAGGAAGCTGGAACCCCGACGCCAGACATTGAGGATTTTCCACCTCAGATGAAGGTACTGGCGGATGAATTTAAGGAGGTTTTTGAGTCTATTCCAGACGGCCTCCCTCCTGACCGCGCCGTGGGCCACACCATCCCTGTGGAGCCTGGAAAGCTCCCACCGTTTCGACCTCTGTATCGCCTCAGTCCAGCTGAGTACGAGGAGGCTAAACAACAGATTGAGGAGTACCTCATGAAGGGATGGATTGAGCCAAGCGCATCACCATATGGAGCACCAATCTTGTTCGTTAACAAGAAGGGTGGTGGCTTACTTATGTGCGTCGACTACCGCGCCTTAAACAAGATCACGATCAAGAACAGATATTCTCTTCCAAGGATAGAAGATTTGTTCGATCGACTCCAGGGTGCTCAGTGGTTTAGCGTGTTGGATCTGGCACAAGGGTACCACCAGCTGCGCATCACTGAGGAGATGTTCCCAAGATGGTGTTCCGTTCGCCGTTTGGCCATTTTCAATGGCGCGTGCTGAGCTTTGGCTTGACCAATGCTCTGGCCTCTTTTCAGAGGGCCATGAACGATGTGTTTCGCGAAGCTATCGGACACTTCGTTCTGGTTTACCTCGACGATATCTTGGTTTATTCCAAGACGGAAGAGGAGCACACTCAACACCTAAAATGGGTGCTAGGGAAGTTGCGAGAACACAAGTTCTATGCTCGTTTATGGAAATGCCATTTCTATAAGCGCGAGCTGGAATACCTCGGTCATCTTGTCGGGAACAACGGACTTAAAGTCGACCCCAAGAAGGTGGTGGCTGTTCAGAATTGGCCCGTCCCACAGGACGTGGGTCAGATCAGGTCCTTCCTAGGCCTGGCCAATTATTTCCGCCGGTTCTTGGAAAATTACTCGACTGTCGTTGCCCCTCTAACAGCACTCACCCGAAAAAGTACTGCATGGGAGTGGACTCGACAATGCCAAGAGGCATTTGACAAAGTCAAAACAAAGTTGACCAATGCTCCGGTTTTGGTATTGCCAGATCCTTCTAAACCCTATGAGGTGGTCACAGACGCCTCGATAGTAGGGATTGGGGCGGTACTATTGCAGGAGGGCCGTCCTGTGGCATTTGAGAGTAGGAAACTCTCCCCGGCAGAGCAGCGCTATATGACGTCAGAACAAGAGTTGCTGGCGGTCATGCATGCGCTGCAAACATGGCGATGTTATCTGGAAGGTGTGGAGTTTGTGGTCACGATAGACCACTGCCCGAACACCTATTTCTCTACTCAAGCCACGCTCACTCGGCGCCAAGCCCGCTGGGCAGAACTCCTTAGTGGGTTCACATTCGATATTCGATATCGTGCAGGTTCTACGAACATGGCTGACCCCCTCAGCAGACAACCGATAGGGGCAGCGACTGGGCTTGATGAAACCGAGGATAAGGTAGTAGTTGCTGCTTGCTTCGGTATTCTTGCCGTGGCTCGAGTGAGTGAGGTCACCTTCAGTGGTTTTCTGAAACGCATCCGCACAGGATACCATATTGACTCCTGGTTCCAGAACCCACAAAATACGAAGGGCCTCAAGTACGAGCATGAGCTCTGGTGGCAAGAGAAAGAGATTGTGGTACCCCACGTGGGTAACCTGCGGAATGATATAATTGAGGAAGTGCATAGCACCAAGTACGGGGGACACCTGGGTATCAAGAAAACCCGGTGGGCCTTAAGTGATGTGTAATGGTGGCCTGGATTGGGGACTGAGGTCCAACAATTCGTGTCGCGTTGTGATGCATGGGCACGCAACAAGTCAGACACGAAAAAGCCTGGTGGTTTGCTTCAACCACTGGAGATTCCAGACAAACCTTGGGAGAGTGTCTCACTGGATTTCATCACAGACCTCCCAAAAACACGGGACGGTCATACTGCAATCTTAGTCTTTGTGGATCGATTGACCAAAATGGTGCACTTCGTGGCTACTACAACAGACGTATCTGCGGAAGATACGGCCAAGTTGTATGTAGCACACGTGTTCCGCTTACACAGGTGCTGGTGTCTGATCGAGATCCGCGCTTTACAAGCTGGTTCTGGCACGAAGTTACACAGACACTCGGAACGAAGCTAAAGATGTCGTCAGCCTTCCATCCCCAAATGGATGGGCAGACGGAGCGGACGAATCGTACGCTTGAGCAGATGCTTCGTTCCTTCATCGGCCCAACTCAGGATGATTGGGATGACTTGTTACCTGTGGTTGAGTTCGCAATGAACAATTCTGTCCATGAAGGTACCCATGAAAAACCCTTCATTCTGAACAGTGGTCAGCATCCCACAACACCTGCTACGCATGGGATAGACGGACTGCGAGTCCCTGCCGCGAAAGACTTTGTGGGTAAGCAGCAAGAAGCGCTCAAGTCTGCTCGCCGCTGGCTGCAGCTGTCTCAGCAGCGACAAAAGTTTTATGCCGACATGAAACGCCGGGAAGTCTCTTTTAAGGTTGGATACAAGGTATTATTGAGCACGAAGAACATTCGTCTCAAAATTCCTGGGGCACGAAAGCTGTTCCCTCGATGGATTGGGCCGTTCGAGGTGATCCAGCGCGTTGGTGTGGTAGCTTACAGTTACCCGATACATTGCAGATTCACAATGTCTTCCACGTGTCTCTGCTCAATAAGTACATTCCTGAAGGCAAGTACTTACCTCCACCAACGATCGTCCTCGGAGAGGAACTCTTTTATGAGGTCGAGCGTGTGCTCATGCACCATGATCGACAGCGCGGCCACAAGACATTACGCGAGTTCCTTATTAAGTGGAAAGGCTATGGGCCTGAACACAACTCATGGGAGCCAGAGGAACATTTGACCGAAACTGTGGTTCACGGATATCTGGAAGACGTGGCTCAAAGAGCAGCCTCACAACCAGTGGATGGTGTTGACCCTGGTCGTAATGTGATTCGGCGCGCTCGAAGCACCCGTCCCCAGAAGCACTCTACGGCAATGAGGACGTTGCCACCTAGAGGGGGAGGAGTGTAACGCATGGCCTCTGCATAGTACACGGGCCTAGAAACGACCGTCCCAACCACCTTTCACAAATTGGCCACCTAGGTAGCGCAAAATGGGAAGGAAGGGTTGGGAGGGGAGGATTGGGATTGGTCGATACTTGGGACCAATCAGATTTTAGTTGTACAAATTGAGTTGGCGAAATTCCCAATACATGCGATGGTTGGATTTGCGACCAATCTGAACCAGGGAGTTGGTTGGCAATGCAAACTCAACTCGAATATTCTTATGCTGTACACTTTATGCTAATCTGAATACATTGTTGTAAACCTCTCATTGGTTGGAATCCAACCCTTTTGCCACATAGGCCAGCTCACCTCCTTGGAGCCATGGAGGAGATTGAGCATCTGCTGGGAGTCATTGGAAGGGGTCTGGGCTGAGAAGCTCATTCTCAACTTCCCACTCCAAGAAATCAATCTTGAAATGGGATTTTTCCCCCAGTCATGAGCTCTCCTCACAAGCTTCCCTACACTAGTGGCTTCTAGTGTGATCTCCTAGGGGAAGCCCTACCCAACCTGAGCCTCAAGCACTATCTTCAAGGGCCTTCTTCAAGCTTATACTATCTCTTAGAGGAGGTCCCTCATAAATACCACGCTAGGGGATCGTTAGTTGATTTTGTACTCCATTTATAACCTAGGATCTTGGATGTTGGGTTTGGACTTCAACCCTTGTTGCCCATGATATAAGGGCAAGGGTTGTTACAGACACGATAGCACGGAGTGACGCGATAGCACGGAGTGACACAATAGCAGGGACGGAGTGACGCGATAGCAGGGATGGAGTGACGCGATAGCAGGGACGGAGTGACGCGCCAGAACCTTAGCACAGAGTGGCTGAGGCGAAAGCAGGGAGGAAGCAGCGAGGGCAGGGGAGGGAGAGCGGAGTGAGCGTGTGGGAGGGAGAGCGGAGGGAGCGCGCGGGAGGGAGAGCGCAGTGAGCGCGGAAGGGAGAGCGGAGGGAGTGCGCAGGAGGGAGAGCGGAGTGAGCGCGGGAGGGAGAGCGGAGTGAACGCGCGGGAGGGAGAGCGGAGTGAGCGCGGGAGGGAGAGCTGCGTGAGCACTTGGGAGGGAGAGCGGAGTGAGGCGCAGGAGGGGGAGCGGCGTGATCGCGCGGGAGGGAGAGTGGTGTGAGCGAGCGGGAGGGAGAGCGGAGTGAGCGCGCGGGAGGGAGAGCGGCGTGAGCACGGGAGGGAGAGCGGCGTGATCGCGGGAGGGAGAGCGGCGTGGTCGCGGGTGGGAGAGCAGTGTGATCGCGGGAGGGAGAGCGGCTTGATCGTGGGAGGGAGAGCAGGGGCAGCGGAAGGTGAAAGGGGAAAGGGGTGAGAGCAAGGGCAGGGGTGAGAGAGAAGAGTGAGCGCAGGCGAGGGGGAGAGGCGGGAGAGCAAGGGAATGGGAGAGGGGTGAGAGTGGAGAAAGGGGAGAGGAAAGAGAGCAGGGGAGAGGGAGAGGAGTGCGAGCAGGAGAGGGAGATAAGAGTGAGAGCAACCAGGGAGGGAGGGAGGGAGTGAGAGCAGGGGAGGGGAAGAGGAGTGAGGGCAGGGCAGTTGGAGATGAGGGAGAGCAGGGCAGGGGGAGAGGAGTGAGAGCAGGGGAAGGGAGAAGAGTGAGAGCAGGGGAGGGGGAGATGAGTGAGAGCAGGGGAAGGGGAGAGGAGTGAACGTTGGGACAGGGAAGATGAGAGAGAGCAGGGTAGTGGGATAGGAGTGCGAGCAGGGGAGGGAGGGAGGAGAGAGGGCATGGGAGTGAGAGAGGGAGTGACAGCAGGTGAGGGGGAGAGGAATGAGAACAGGGGAGGGGGAGAGGAGTGCGAGCAGGGGAGGGAGGGAGGAGCGAGGGCAGGAGAGGGAGAGAGGGAGTGAGAGCAGGGGAAGGGGAGAGGCATGAGAGCAGGGGAAGGGAGAAGAGTGAGAGCAGGGGAAGGGGAGAGGTATGAGAGCAGGGGAAGGGGAGAGGAGTGAACGTGGGGAAAGGGGAGAGGAGAGAGAGTGGGGGAGGGGGAAAGGAGTGCGAGCAGAGGAGGAAGGGAGGAGTGAGGGCAGGGGAGGGAGAGAGGGAGTGAGAGCAGGGGATGGGGAGAGGAGAGAGAACAGGGGAGGGGGAGAGGAGTGCGAGCAGGGGAGGGAGAGAGGGATTGAGAGCAGCCAAGGGGGAGAGGAGTGAGAGCAGAGGAGGGGGAGAGGAGTGAGAGCAGGGGAAGGGGAGAGGAATGAACGTGAGGAAAGGGGAGAGGAGAGAGAGCAGGGGAGGGGGAGAGGAGTTTCACTTATGAGTGCACCAGGAGATGCTCTAGGCCCGCTGCATGCCTTCCAGGTGAAGTCAAGGGGCACGTGCCAGGTGAGAACCTCAAGAAGGCACCCCGCCTCAGAGTTTTGCCACAGTGAAAACGGCACATGTGCATAGTCACACAGCTGCAAAAGATGTGGGCAGGGCAATACCAGGTTAGCACTCACTCTGCCTGACCTTCCCCACTCTCCCCTTCCCCCCCTCTCACTCTAATAGGAGCACCCCCTTACCTTCCCTTACCACCCCCTCGTACCCATCTGGAGTGCAGTGGACGGGAAAGCTTGCATCCATAGCACTTGTGATGCTGCGGCGTCTCCAACCCCCCATCCCGTCTCCTGCCCCATAAACCCTCTCCCACCCCATTGAGCCACTCCATCCTTCCTGTTTCTCTCTCTCTCCCTCATTGTGTGCGCAGCTATCGCTGGACGTCCCATTGTCACGCAGAAGAAACTCACTCAAGATGTTGACAACCCACCCTGGCGGGAGACTCGACGAAGGAAGTTAGAGGAAGGCCCTTGGTGGTTGGAGACGAAGTGGGAAAGGCAGTGGGGAGGGGGACACAGCGTGCAGACCAATTGATGGTTGTGGCGGAGAAACAAGGCAGCCAGGAGGCACAGTGTTTGGTTGGTAGAATTGCTGTCCCAAGAACACATAGGCGTGGACTGATGATCAGAGTTGTGTCGTGTTTGCGATCAACATTACCTAGAATAGGCGGTCTATAAGCTTCCTGTTTACACTGTTTGAGTGTCCAAGTTCAATACACACATTGGTTTTACAGTTTCTCAAACGATCCACCTCCCTATTGTTTCCCAGCTGCCTCGTCACCTAGTAGTTTAACATCACCAGCACCCCATCAATCTCTTCATGACTCTAATCGCCCAACTCGGCCATGACCTCTGCCGCATTGAGTTGAACACTATCGCAGGCAGGAAATCGTAGTTGGGAGAGGGGGAGAAGTGAGAGCTGGGAAGAGGGGGAAAGTCAAACACAGACTGAGGGGATAAGTAGCGCGTGAGGGATGGGCAGAGAGTGAGGGATGGGCCGAGAGTGAGGGATGGGCAGAGAGTGAGGGATGGGCAGAGAGTGAGGGATGGGCAGAGAGTGAGGGATGGGCAGAGAGTGAGGGATGGTCAGAGAGTGAGGGATGGGCAGAGAGTGAGGTATGGGCAGAGAGTGAGGGATGGTCAGAGAGTGAGGGATGGGCAGAGAGTGAGGTATGGGCAGAGAGTGAGGGATGGTCAGAGAGTGAGGGATGGGCAGAGAGTGAGGTATGGGCAGAGAGTGAGGGATGGGCAGAGAGTGAGGGATGGTCAGAGAGTGAGGGATGGTCAGAGAGTGAGGGATGGTCAGGAAGCATGAGAGCAGGGAGGGAGTAAGAACAAGGGGGAAGGGAGAGAGAGGGGGCAAGAACACAGGGAGGAAGAATGCAGGGAGGCAGAAAGCAGGGAGGAAGAAAGCAGGGAGCCAGAAAGCAGGGAGGAAGAAAGCAGGGAGGAAGAAAGCAGGGGGGCAGAAAGCAGGGAGGAAGAAAGCAGGAAGGAAGAAAGCAGGGAGGCAGAAAGCAGGGAGGCAGAAAGCAGGGAGGCAGACAGCAGGGAGGCAGATAGCAGGGAGGCAGAAACCAGGGAGGCAGAAAGCAGGGAGGCAGATAGCAGGGAGGCAGACAGCAGGGAGGGAGAAAGCAGGGAGGGAGAAAGCAGGGAGGCAGAAAGAAGGGAGGCAGAAAGCAGGGAGGCAGAAAGCAGGGAGGAAGAAAGCAGGGAGGCAGAAAGCAAGGAGGCAGAAAGCAGGGAGGCAGACAGCAGGGAGGCAGACAGCAGGGAGGCAGAAAGCAGGGAGGCAGAAAGCAGGGGGGCAGAAAGCTGGGAGGAAGAAAGCAGGGAGGCAGAAAGCTGGGAGGAAGAAAGCTGGGAGGCAGAAAGGAGGGAGGCAGAAAGCAGGGAGGAAGAAAGCAGGGAGGAAGAAAGCAGGGAGGCAGAAAGCAGGGAGGAAGAAAGCAGGGAGGAAGAAAGCAGGGAGGCTGAGCTGGAATATATCCCAGCAGCCTCCTCCACGCACTCCAGCCTCCGTCCTCCTCACTCCATTCCTCCAATCCCGTCACCTCCTCCCTGTCCTCAACCCCTCCTCCCCCCTCCTTGTCCTCCCCCTGTTCTCCCTGTCCTCTCCCATTCCTACCTCCTCTTTCTTCCACTCCTCTGCATCCCCCTCTCTCACACTCCGCATCCCCCTCTCTCACACTCCGCATCCCCCTCTCTCACACTCCGCATCCCCCTCTCTCACACTCCGCATCCCCCTCTCTCACACTCCGCATCCCCCTCTCTCACACTCCGCATCCCCCTCTCTCACACTCCGCATCCCCCTCTCTCACACTCCGCATTCCCCTCTCTCTCGCCGCGCATCCCCTCTCTCGCGCTCTGCATCCCCCTCTCTCTCGTCCCGCATCCCCCTCTCTCGCACTCTGCATCCCCCTCTCTCTCGCCGCGCGTCCCCCTCTCTCTTGCTCTGCGCCGTCGGTCGTGAATGCGTCACGGATATGCCCTGCGCAGTTATAATGCCCTAACTCGAGGCGCTGCCTCTCGTCCATTTCAGAGACTTAGTTCGCCGATTTTGCGAAGAATCCTACGTATTCCTTACGCTTAGAGGAACACATGGGCTTATCTCGAATGGCGCGCCATTTTGCGATCCACCGATATTAGTGCGCGCGATTTTTTCTTTACAAAGAAAATTGGAAATCCGATATGCGTGTGACCTGCGGTCGAGTCTACTTTGAGTTGCTGGCGAAATAGAAAATTTACGCTAGCAGAAGTCCTGATATTGCACGCGAAATATGGGCTGCGGAAATGCCTGGCGTCTTTGGATGCTCTCTGTTGCGTTCAACGCGTTTGCCGGAGTGCGGCTGGTTGATGGTGTGACGCGTTAGCCTACCGTCTGTACTGCTGTGCACCTTGTACCGTCTGTTGTGCTTTGCTGGTCTTGGTTTTCCTTTCCCAACCTTGTTTGAGCTTTGGTTTGCGAAGTACAATTTGCATCTCCGAGTGTCGCAAAAAATTTCCAGAATTCGGGCTCTTGTCAAACTCGCAGCCAATAGCAAGCCTCTCTCCCAAACCCAAGCCGCGCTCTCTTTTTGCGGCTTGTAATTTGGGATCCGGGCTTTAAGTCAAGCACCTATCTAGAGCGCCACGGAAGCAAAGAAGGCCGACGTCAATTGATGAAGCACTCCACTATAATAGCACACCATTTCTATCATTTTCACTATAATTTTAAAGGTAAAACGCCAATTAACCTTTTACATTCGAACAATAAAGGCTCTTGTGGCTATTATGTAAAAATATGGCATTCTTGCACTTGATAGTGTGTTCTTCTGACATCTGAAAGTGAAGTGTAGTTAAATCTAGTGTATCTTATATCCTTTAAGACTTCTGCTTTCTACCCCCGATACAGTAACCCAGTTGGTTCCCCCCCCACCTCTCGCCCCTCCCCTCTCGCATAGCCCCTCCACTTGCTTCGTTATCAAGGCTGAACAGCACCACGCACGAGTGAGGAAGAGTCTCGGAATCTCAGCCCAGCACGCGCAACGAGTGTCCTTCCTTGGGTAACCAACCACCACCCTCCCTTTGTTTCATGCCCACAGACACTTTCCCCAAGGTACAGCCGAAATTCGTCAGAGTCGCACAAGATTTTAGGGTGCCGGAGATTCGATCGGTCAAGTACTTCGCAGTCCCTCGCCACGGGCAAATGATGATTTCGCACGAGCAGACGGCGAAATGGGTGGGTATTTGTGGGGGGGCCTTTGTGGCGATGTTTGTTGCCAGTGTGCAACTCTTTTGAAGCAATCAGGCGACGACGGTGCACAGTTTCGTGGCGACGAAACCTCGTCTGCAACGACTTGTCCCTTGCTATATGTTGGTCGCAGACGCAATCATGAGTGGCTCAAACGGATCTTCCATTGCATGTATATTAGGGATTTTGGAAAACGATTCTGCTTGGGTGCCAAGTTGAGCTGCGATAAGGTTGGGCATCGTTTGTACACACACTGATGAACTCTATTGTTATCTTCCTGCCCAGAAATTCTGCACTGTGTCTGGCTTTTAGAGATGAACTGTTGTCTTGCACTACGACTCCGATTAAAAATATATTTTCAAGCCACACCCTGACAAATTTATTAGGTATTAAATGGCACATTGTAGTTACAAATGTTTTCCTTGTGCCTTCAATCCTTGACATACTGTATCATTATGCAGTTCTGACGTGGGGTATTTTGTCCGTTTCCATCTTCTTGGACTTATTCGTTCAGTCACCAGAATGAGCTGGGCTGCCCGTGCTGGGAATCATTGTCGCAAACCACGAAGTACAGAATACCATTTCCCCCAAATTGGCGGGATGCAGTTTACCTTGCACACCGTGAAGCTCGAAGTTGGCACTTCAGAAAGGAAAGAAAATATCGGCTGTGCCAGCGTTACAGAAGGAGCTGTGGACCAGATCTGCCACCGCATTTCCGGCAGCAATACAATTGAGGCAGGTACTGTACACAATTGAGCAGCAGAGATTCTGGCTCGGGGTGTCAGTCTTGTTTGCCAAGAGTCAAGACCCACTGCCGCTGCTGGCAGCATGGGTCCACAGAACTGGTCAGCCAACCACTTGTTTTCTCGAAACCATTATGACTTCGCCCCATTGGGGTTTGAGAGGTCACCTGCAGCACCAACAGAGGACCAGACTTCGTTTCTTCTGCCTCTCGTTTCCAGGGTCAGCTGACCTACCTGAATATTTCTAAATTTGGTTATCTATCTGGTTACTCCTACTCACGTAAAAGATCAGAAGCCTCGTCCATAGAAACGAAGCTGTTATGTGTAATTTCGTCCGTGATTTGTCAGAAATGAGAGCAGGGAATGGAGTGGGAGGATGAATGGTCCTCTACTGGAACCCTTTTCTTAAAGTAGCAACTACGATTTCGGCCACATTCGACTAACTAGAAAGGCACTTGCACAACTACCCAACAGAATGTGGGGCATTCTTTAAACGGTTTTGAATCCGCCTCTCGACTGTACACCTCTTCCACCGAACACTCCATAACAGAACACTCTAATTTACCGTTACATTCCATAAAGCCGTTTTCTCCTGGTATTATCAATGGCCTTACTGTCCACATCAGTCGCAGCAGTGGCGAAACATTACCAGCGAAAACACACCCAACAAATGCAACAACAAATGCAGTCCCTCTGAGCTCATGTAGGACACCCAAAACCGTGCAGAGCGAAAACAAAAGCCTACCAAAAATCACTGTGCACGTTTCCCCTACAATCCCGTTTCGCCCGGGGTTACCACCACTGCCGATACTCTCTGGCGCGACTCGGTCATTGACGGGGAGTAATCTTTGGAATAAGTGTAGTTCGATTCGTCCCAGAAGCCACCTTTGGGGTTTCATTTGTTCCTCCTCACTTGCAACCAAGCCATCACCTCCTCCCTCCAAGCACTCAAGCCCAACCCAAGTACTGTACTGCTTGTGTTCGCAGCGGCAGTACCCTATGATGTGTACAACTGTGCTCAAGCTAAGGAGCCTCCTAAACCACGAAGTTTCCGCCTTTCGGCCGGAACCGCGAATGCCAACTCGGTGTCCTTGTAGAGAACCGGATGACGCGCATTGCAGTGGGAGAAAAACCGCCGGATCGAGACAGCGGGTTCTTTTAGTAACTTGAAGATCTAGAAAATGTCAGACAACCTCTGGTTCACAGATATTTCTCTCGAAATTAACAGCATCTCCAAGTTCGCAAATTCGGACGGTTTTCAGTGGTTGAAGTATGGCTCTAAGCTTCTGAAAAGTGCGGGTCACAGAAGGTCGGTTTGCCAGGAACTGGCTCTGGTGACTTGGAGATGTTTCTACCAACTTTTCCAGACGCGGCTTAGTCCTCCATCCCTTCCATCCCCCTCCCCCCCTTCCCACCCCCCTCTCTCCCCCATCCATCCTCTGTTTTTCACGTGCTCTTCATCCCCCCCCCCTCCCCCCCACCCCCCTCCCCCCCCACCCCCCCTCCCCCCCCCCCAAAAAAAATAAATAAAAAATAAACCATATATTCCCTCGTTCTTCCGCAAATGGTATGATATCAAATATGTGACAACAGATCGAGAAAACAGCTACAAGAGGATGCAGAGATACCCCATCCTTTTCAGTTTCCTGGGCTGGATCTTTATTATGATATTACACTGTGTGGCGGCAGAAAGAAAAGGAGCTGGAAAGAAACAGCAGCTACTATGCCAACAAAATTTTTCCTCCTCACTCTCTCCCTCTCCCCCTCCCTCCCTTCCCGTCTTACCCTACTCACCTCTCCCCCCCTCTTCCTCCCCCCTCTTTCCCCCTGTTACCTTTCTTCTAGCTTTAGATTTATCCACATCCTTACCAATATAATATATGATTCTCTATGTCTCTATTCGTCTAGCACTGTTCCTATCTACATATGTACTATTTATCAAATAAAAAAAACTAAGAATCGCTACATCATGTATCCATGAGTCCTTTTACACCCCTGCTCATAGAGCTACGTACTATTCATCTATTCTCTCTATCTCTATCTCTATCTTTCTCTCTCTCCCTCACTCCCTCCCTCTCACTCCCGCCCCCTTAGCTCTACCCATGTCTCCTTTGCCTCCCCCTGCTCTCTTGCTAGTTCCTTCGAGACTGAGCTTTTTGAGTGAGGCGAAAAGATCGACTTTCCAGATGCAGGGCTGTTTTCATCCTCCCTTTCTCTCCACTTCACCTTCCCTTCCCCCCAAGCCACGTCCCTTATCTCTCCCCCCCCACCTCCCCCTTCTTCCCCCCCCCCCCTCCCACCCCCTTCCTCAGGGCATACTATCTCCAGCCTTCCCTGCGACAGCCTCTCTGGTTGCCCTCCCTGGCCGGTGTGCAAGCACATCGACTTCGAGGCCCAGCAGCAGTTCTCCTTGGGATCTCCCAGCACCAAGGTGACCTTATTTCTCATGCCTCTTCCTTCTCTCCCCTCCCCTCCCCCACTCCCCCCCCCTCCCCCTTCCCCTTTCCCCGCAGAGCATACTACCGCTGCATCTCCAGCCTTCCCTGCTACAACCTCCCCGGCTGCCCTCCCTGCCCGGCGCGCAAGCACATCGACTTTGACGCGCAGCAGCAGTTCACCTCGGGAGCTCCCAGCACCAAGGTGACCTATGAGGAGACCCACAACCACCTCGCTCCTGCCATCCACCGCCGCAGAAGGCGGATTCCGCTGCAGGGATCGGGATTGTGCGTTGAGGGGATTCAACAAACTCCCTGTCTGGCCGTTTCTGATGATTCGCCTCAACACAAGCAGCTGCAGGGCTTGATTGCTGGGGGGTTCCAAGACACCCCCTTTCAGCCCTCTTCTGCTGGCTCGCCTCAACCGCAGGGCTTGATTCTTGAGGGGATTCAAGGCACTCCCCGTCAGGCCGTTTCTGATGACTCGCCTCAACGCAAGCAGCAGCTGCAGGGCGTGTGTGCTGAGGGGATTCAAGGCACTCCTCCCCTTCAGGCAGCTTCCTCCGACTCGCCTCAACGCAACTGGCTGCTGCAGGAATCTTGTGCTGAGGCGCCTCAGAGCACGGCTGGGGAGGGACCGTGTGCTGAGGGGATTCAACAGACGCCTCTGCATGCCTCTTTTTTCGGCTTGCCTCATCGCAACTGGCTGCTGCAGGAATCTTGTGCTGTGGCGCCTCAGAGCACGGGCGTGCAGGGATCATGTGCTGAGGCGAAACAAGACACCTCCTTGCAGTCCCCTTCTAGTGACTCGCCTCAACACAAGCGGCTGCAGGGATTCTATGCTGAGGCGCCTCAAAGCACGGCCATGCAGGGATTGTGTGCTGAGGGGAGTCAAGACACGACTCTGCAGGCCTCGTCTGCTGGCCCGCCTCAGCACAGGCGGCTGCAGGGATGGTATGCTGAGGCGCCTCAGAGCACGGCTGAGCAGGGATCATGTGCCGAGGAGATTCAAGGCACGCCCCCGCAGGCCACTTCTGCTGACTGGCCTCGGCACAAGCAGCAGCAGACACTCTGTGCTGGGAAGCTGCAGAGCTCCGCCGTTTGGGGATTTTGTGCTGAGGGGATTCAAGACACGCCCCTGCAGGCCCCGTCTGCTGGCCCTCCTCAACACATGCAGCTGCAAGGCTCGTCTGCTGAGGGGAGTCAAGGCACGCCCCAGCAGGGCTCTTCCTCTGACGTGCCTCAGCACATGCGGCAGCAGAGATGGTGTGCTGAAGCGCCTCAGCGCACGGCCGTGCAGGGAGCAGGTCGTGAGGGGATTCAAAACAAACCCCCTTCAGCCGTTTTCTGTTGTCTCGCGTCCGAACAAGCTGCTGCAGGGTTCCTGTGCTGAGGCTCCTCAGAGCATGGCTGTGGAGGGATGCTGTGCTGACGCTTCTCTAAGAGCTGCCGTGTTTTATAACAGGTGTGCTGAGGCGCCCCAGAGCACGGCTGTGAAGGGATGGAACGAGGCCATACCGACACCTGCTGCTTCTTCTGGGAGTGAGCAAGATGCTGCCCTTCACAGTGGCACGCCCTGGTCCTGGTTAGCCGAGACACAGCGAAAGGCGCAAGCAGAGAGGCAAGCAGAGAGGCAAGCAGAGAGGCAAGAAGAGGTGCATGCATATGTGCAATCAGAGACGGAGCCAAAGGTGCAAGCAGATGAGACAAGAGAGACGCAACAATGGGGCTGGGAACTGACAGAGCAGGAACAGAAAGAAGAACTGGGCGGGGTGAAGGTACTGACGGAGAAGCAGGAGACGGATCAGAAACTGCTTCTGGTACGGTCTGTGGCATGGAGGGATTGCGCTGCTGAGGGAATCCCATGGTTGACAGACGCCCAGAGGCGAGAACAATGGGTGGGCCGGGTGAAGGTAGGGACTGTGAAGCAGGAGCAGGAGCAGGAGCAGGAGCAGGAGCAGGAGCAGGAGCAGGAGCAGGAGCAGGAGAAGGATCAGGAGCAGGATCAGGATCAGGAGCAGGAGCAGGAGCAGGAGCAGGAGCAGGATCAGGAGCAGGAGCAGGATCAGGAGCAGGAGCAGGAGCAGGAGCAGGAGCAGGAGCAGGAGCAGGAGCAGGAGCAGGAGCAGGAGCAGGAGCAGGAGCAGGAGCAGGAGCAGGAGCAGGAGCAGGAGCAGGAGCAGGAGCAGGAGCAGAAACAGCTTCTGGTTCACATGCGGGCATGGAGGGATTGCGCTGCTGAGGAAATTCGGGGGTTGACAGACGCCCAGAGGCGAGAACAAGGAGAGGGCCGTGTGAAGGTACCGACAGTGAAGCAGGAGCAGGATCAGAAAATGCTCCTGGTACAAATGCAGGCTTGGAGGGATTGCGCTGCTGAGGGATTCCATGGGCTGACAGAAGCCCGGAGGCAGGAAGAAGGAGCGGGTCAGGTGAACATACGGACCATGGAGCAGGAGCGGGATCGGACGCTGCTTCCGGGTCAAATGCGGGCATGGAGGGCTTGTGCTGCTGGGGGATTCCAGGGACTGTGGCAGGTGAAGCAGCAAGTGCCTTTCGGTTGTGAGAATGGGCCTGTGGGTAGTGTGCGGACAGAGCAGGGGGCAGCAGCAGTGGCTGCAGCGGGTGCTGCAGCAAGGGCAGCGGCAAGGGCAACGGCAAGGGAAACAGCTCAGGAACAGACTCTTGGACGAAAAAAGACAAAGAAAGATTGCAACTCTGCTGGGAGCTTTCGGATGCCGTGGCAGCACAGCCTTCCCAGGGTACAACCACGAGTGTTACCAGTTACCAGCACAACTTCTCCGGATACCTGCGACAGCATGCTTTGGGCTGATACCCTGCACCACGTGGAATCAGCTGCTGCAGCTAGTGCAGCGGCCATGGTAGCAGGTGCTGCAGCAGCGTCTGCAGTGGCTGGAGCAGCGGCAGCCTCTGTGGGTAAGGCAGCAGCTCCAAGAGCCAGCGGTGCAGCGGAACGTTCATTTAAGAGGCCATGTGAGGCAAAACCTGGTGCAGCAGCATCTGCAGTGGCTGGAGCAGCACTTACCCCTGCGGCTGATATGGCAGCTTGTAGAGGTGGTGCAGGTGAAGATAGTGTGAAGAGCCCATTTGGGGCAACACCACACGCAGCAGTAAGAACATCTGAGCGCAGGGCGAGTTTTCTGGCAGCCTGGAATGCTGCCAAGACTAGCCAGCGAACCCTGGTGGCAGGGGAGGAGAATAGGAAGACGACTAGGGAGGAAACTAGGGAGGAGAATAGGGAGGAAATTAGGGAGGAGAATAGGGAGGAGAATAGGGAGGAGAATAGGGAGGAGAATAGGGAGGAGAATAGGGCGGAGGGAAGGAACAGTGGAGACGCCCGGAAGGGGTTGGTAGCGAGAGAGTCATGTGAGGAAGTAGGGGAGAAGGCGATGATAGTGAGTAGGACTGTTCCGGAAGACTGTGAAGAAGCTATTATACGGTTTGAAGCTGGTCAAACGAGGCACGTGTGGGAGACAGAGGTCAGCTGCCGGCATCTTAGGGAGTGGTTCAGGGGCAGTATGAAAAGAAAGCGGGAGGGTGGGGATGGCGCGCGGCAAGAGGAGAGGGTAGTGGGGTGCGGGAGGGACAGGGTTCCAGTTCGGTTGAGTGAGGTGAATGCAGGAGGATGGCTGGATAATAGAGGGCGACATGGACTAGCAGTTATGACGCCTGGTGACTCCAACCGTGGTGGCTTAGCTGGTGCCTGCGGAGGCAGAAGAGATCTTGGAAAAACTGAGGCCAGAAAAGGAGCGCCCTTGAGAGCGGCAGTGTGTTTTGGTGAGTCAGCATTTGGCTGTAGGGATCCAGGTGCGGGTTTTAGGGACCACGGAGCGGGTTTTAGGGGCCCAGGTGTGGCTTTGATTGGAGAAACTGTGCATTGGCGCACAGATAGGGGCTTCGATAATGCTAGTCGGGGTGGTGCGAGTGACAGTGCAACTGCGAGTCTGAGAGCTAGGGGGCGAGGGTTTGTGGTGGGAGGAGAAGGAGGAGGAGAAGGAGGAGGAGGAGGAGGAGGAGGAGGAGGAGGAGGAGGAGGAGGAGGAGGAGGAGGAGGAGGAGGAGGAGGAGGAGGAGGAGGAGGAGGAGGGGGGGGGAGGAGGAGGAGCAGGAGGATGGGGAGGAGTAGGAGAAAGAGGAGGGGGAGGAGTAGGGGGGGAAGCTGCAGCTGGTGTGGACAGCTGTACGGCTGGTGGAAGCGACTCAGCAGAACAGGATGGTGCATTGATAAAGTTCATAAAAGTCAAGAGAGTACCAGAATCTGGTGTTGGGGTTACGCAGTGGCAGAAGATTTTACAGTCAGCTCAAGAGTCTGCTGAGGCACGAGAGTGGAAAGGTCTGCCTCGTATGCAGCGTGCTGTGGGGAGCAGCAGAGATGCGCATTCACTGGGGAGTGCAGGGAATGGAGCAGCAGAAAGCGCCGCTGAGCCTCTGCAGAAGCAAACAGTGTTGCGTGCAGGAAAGTGTAAAGGAGAGTGTGCAGGTGAGCGTACAGGGGAGTGTGCAGGGGAGTGTGCAGGGGAGTGTGCAGGGGAGTGTGCAAGCAAGGATGAGGTGGAGCAAGCAAGAGAATCTGTTGCAGAAGGGCTACAGCAGCAGCCACCTTTTCATGGCTGGCAGGCCTTCGAGACGTGGAGAGCTCAACACTTCAGGAACCAGACGGCACCCTCGTCACTCAATCCGGCAATGCAGCAGCTGCCGTCCTTTTCAGAGTCGTCACGAAATGGAGCAGCAGAAATGGGTTCAGCTACACCTCTTTTGCGCGGAGAAGCTTCTCCGTATATTTGTGTGCGAAGCTCACCACTCGTACAAGGTGCCGCATACCAAGGAGAGCCGCTTGACAAGGTGCCAAAGATACCCACAGGTTCGGTTTTGGAGGAGCCTCAAAAGGCATGGGAGTTGGTCAAGGAACCTCTGCAGCTTCTGGGACGGCTGAAGGCTGGAGAGCAAATCACCACTGATGGTATCACCACCGATGGTATCACCACCGATGGTATCACCACCGCACATAGGTCAGAGAGGAGTTGGTGGAAGAGAGGGGCTGTTGGGACCAAAGGTTCCCTTCCAGATCAGCTGCAGAAAATCCTCGCACCACAGGTGAATGAGGCAGCCATGGGGGCAGCTGGAGTCGGCATCAAGATAGCTCAAGGGGCCGACCGGGGCTGGGAGACGAACTGGTGGACAACAGGAGTTGTGGGGACCGAGGGTGACTCTTTTGGTCAACTCCAGAATATTGCTGCATCGCGGTTGAGTGAGGGAGTGGTGGACGCTGCAGGTGTGCCTTCCCCAGTTGCACCTCGAGGGATATTGAAAGGGAGGTGCCTTGCTCTGGAGAATTTTACCAAGGGAGCTGTTCAATGGGTTTCTCCAGTCAGAGATTATGCAGCAGCACGTCCTGCTACGTGTACTGCTAGGGTCTGCTCTGTTCTGCCTCCTGTTTCTTTAGATAGCTTGATGCCTGTGCATGACGCATGTTAGGTGGTATTAGTGAGAGTGTTTTCAAGCCCCTGCTGTTACAAGTGGCTTGTTATGTATGCTTGGTTTGGTAGGAATAGATGTGCTGGTATTGGTTCTGTACTGGGCCTTGGCGTCTGCCCCTTGAATTGCATTCGCAAATTTGGGACGTCACACGTCGTGCCAGATTTGGATGGTTCCTCTTTTGGTGACGTGGTAGTAATTTTCCGCATGCTGCTATTTCCTGATTTTTAGCTTGTTTGGTCGAAAACTTTTCCACCGTGGTTCATTTTGGGCAGACTTTGTTGGAGAAAATATGTAGAGAGTTGGGATTTACTTCTGGTTTGACATCCACATATGACGTCGAGCTTTGGGGTGGAGTTGACATCAGCTAACTGTCAAAAGACTAGCTTAGCTAGGAAGCCATAGAATGGCACAAGGTTTAGCTAGGAGCTAGGAGGAGCCATGAGAATGGCGAGAGGTTTTAGGTGCTAGGAAAGTTGAGGAGAGAAAAGAGTGTTGGATTAGAAGAGAGGGGAGTACAAGGAGGGGTTTGTACCCCCTACAGAAAGGTTCAGTAACAACCTACCAAGCCTATATTAAATTATAACTTATATAATTTGAACACACCCCCTAGGCTTGGTAGTCACATGCCCACACACACCCACACCCCCTAACCTAGCACCCCCATTCCAGCCACAGTGACAGCGACTCTAGGTCGGTCGACCCACGGTGCGTGAGGCGGCGACGTCGACCGCAGGGGCTGCGGCGGCGACGGCAGCAGCGGCGGCAGTGTCGACAGCGGCGGCGGCGGCGGCGTGCGGCTGCGTGGCCCCGACGCAAGCGGCGACAGCGGCGGCGGCGGCGGCTTCGACAACAGCGGCAGCGGCGGCGGCACCCGCACCTCTCGGTGACGTGGCCAGGCCCCGCGACGGTGGGACGGCCGGCGGGAGTCAGCCGTCGTCTGCGGAATGGAAGAGGGCACAGGGGAAGGAGGGGGGTGGGGGGGGGGGGGGGGCGCCACAGGCTGACATGCGGGCGGCCGGTCTAGCGGCGCCACAAGCGTCACGCGGCCGGCTGCAGCCCGACGACGCCATCATGGAGCGGCGTCGATGCCGCAGCGGGGCGTCGACGTTGCGACGGCAGCACGACGTCGCCGTTACGCCGACCGCGCGCTGTCGCGTAGACGCCGCGGCAGCGTGACGGCGCCGTCACGTCGCGACAGCATCTTGACGCGACGGCGGAGCTGCGGCACGACGGCGCGGCCACAGCAGCTGGACGCGGGCGCCATGGACGTCGACGGCGGCGCCGCGGCACGACGACGCGGCCACAGCAGCTTGACGCGGCCGCCATGGCAGCGCGAGATAGAGAGAGAAACGAGCACGCAGCGGAAACGCGAGGAGCAGGCCCACACGGAACGAACTGCTCTAATACCATGTCAAAAGACTAGCTTAGCTAGGAAGCCATAGAATGGCACAAGGTTTAGCTAGGAGCTAGGAGGAGCCATGAGAATGGCGAGAGGTTTTAGGTGCTAGGAAAGTTGAGGAGAGAAAAGAGTGTTGGATTAGAAGAGAGGGGAGTACAAGGAGGGGTTTGTACCCCCTACAAAAAGGTTCAGTAACAACCTACCAAGCCTATATTAAATTATAACTTATATAATTTGAACACTAACGTCTACTTTCTGAAATAAATCTCCTGGTGTTATAGAAGACTAAGTATAGAATCTACAAACACGAGTACTTAACCAAGGATCTTTGCTGGAATGGTAGACTAGTAAGACAGCGGAAGTCTTATCAGAGTGAACCTGAGCACATGAACTTGTGGGTAGTCGAAGGTTGAATAACCTGAGCACATAATTCTGTGGAAAGTCAAGGTTAATGATAGAAAGGCATTACAAGAATTTATAGCTCTAGGGAAAGTACCTGTTCGCTAATGTATCTGTTCGTCGCTATCGCGCTATGCGACCTATTCGTCATACTATAGGGTCGCGACTGTTCGCGTGACTGAAACGACTCGTTACGCCTATTCGCGTAACTGAAGCGGTATGTGACGTCATCCCGAGACCCGCGATGCTTTGCTGACGTCAGCACTCGGACTTGTTTCCTTACCGAGAAACTCGATACTGCTAACTACACTGCAATCGGAACTTGCAGGAATGCAAAACTTCATTTATCACAACACTTTCTACTTTGGCCACCCCATTAGGATACGCCCTTAAAACCCGCGGCCCAAATTTGCGAGGCGCGACCTTCAAACGCGCTGCATTTGAAAGTCGCGTTTTCGTGGGTGTAGATGGTGGTAACATGACTCGCGTCACTCGAGGGTGGCTTCAAGTTCAGTGCGGAACGTATTTTGGGACGCCAAGTGCCTCGCGTTTTTTAGCCGTCCAATATTTGTCGATTTCCATCTGACGGCGCGCAAGTGAAGTGCTTCCCCCAGTCAATCGAAATGTAATCTCAGTCGTCGCACTGCCTGCTTGCAAATCGGACGGTCTACGACAAATTGCGAATTCGCGAGATGAAACACCCTCACGATTTTCCTGCGTATTTCGTCCAGGCCGAGGCTCACAGTTCATACGCAGTGCGTATGAACAATTTGGTCCGTGGGTTTTAAGGTGCACCAGGTGTCAACAAAAATATATATGTAGCTTAGCTAGGTCATATTTGTTTATAGCCTAACGAGTTTAGTTCTTAGTGAGTACAGCCCTAGTTTTGTACCCCTTGACATTTTCCCTTTGTCACAACTTTTCCCGCTACTCAAACATGGTGTTGAGCTAGGTAAGTAATTTTTTTTGTTTTTTTGTTTTTGTTTTTTTTTGTTTTTTTGTTTTTTTTTTTTTTCGCTCTCTCACGCTTCCGCTGTTACTTCCGCTACCGCCGTTACTATAGCTTCATATTTTTCGCGCGTGTGCACCTCTCTCAATTTTGCGCACTGTAGCCTTCCAATAACGAGCTAGCCTTCCAATTTTGCGCTTCGTAGCCTCGAGCTCCCTCCCCTTCCCCCTCGCGACCGTTTTTTTTTTTTTTTTTTTTTTTTTTTTTTTTCGTGCAGTAGTCAGCAGGCCGGCATGCCAGCCAGCGCGCTAGCGAGCTCGCCAGCCAACGCGCCAGCTAGCTAGCTAGCCAGCCAGTTAGTTAGCCAGCTCGCTAGCTAGCTCGTTAGCCAGCTCACTAGCCAGCCGCCTTAGCAGGCTCGCCACCAGCGGTGTTAACCAGCTAGGCGCCAACAGCGCCAGACAGCTTGCTGCCAGCAGCTTCCGCTATCTCGCCGCCAACAGCTAGTCGCCAGCACCGCCAGCCAACTAGCTGCCCACGGCTTCTGCCAGCTCGCCGCTAGCAGCTAGTCGTCCACAGCGCCTACCAGCTTGTCGCTGGCCAGCTCGCCACTGCGACTGCCACTGCCGCTGCAGCCACAGTCAGCCGCTGCCACTGCAGCCGCCACTGCCACTGCAGCCGCTGCCACTGCTGCTGCTGTTATCACCACTACTGCCAGTAGTGCCTCTCCGTGGCAGCCACTACCACTCCCACTGCAGCTACTGCCGCTGCCACTGCTACAGCTGCCATTGCTGCCGCTTGCTCTACAGCTACTGCCACTGCCGCAGCTCCTGCAGTTACTGCCGCTGCAGCCACTTACGCCGCCGCCGCTGCCACTGTCGCCGCTGCTGCTGCCACTGCCACTTGTGCTGCCGCCGCTGCTGCTGCCACTGCCGATTGTGCTGCCGCTGCTGCCCCTGCCGCAGCCGCTGCAGCCACTGCCGCAGCCGCCACTGCCGCTGCCGCCACAGCCCCTGCCGCAACTGCTGCAGTCCCTACCGCTGCCGGAGCCACCGCTGCCACTGCTGCCACTGCCGCTGCCGCTACCGCCACTGCCGCTGCAGCTGCTGCCCTTGCAGCTACCACTGCTGCTGCTGCCCTTGCAGCTGCTGCCGCTGCAGCTGCTGCCCTTGCAGCGCCACTGCCACCGCTGCCCTTGCAGCCGTTGCTGCCGCCGCTGCCGCCACTGCCCTTGCAGCCGCTGCTGCCGCCACCTCCCTTGCAGCCGCCGCTGCCGCTGCTGCCCGTTGCAGCCGCCACTGCCGCCGCTGCCCTTGCAGCCCCCGCTGCCGCTGCTGCCCTTGCAGCTGCTGCTGCCGCCGCTGCCCTTATAGCTGTCTCTGCCGCCGCTGCCTTTGCAGCTGCTGCGCTGCCTCCCGCAGTTGCCACCACCGCTGCTCTTGCTGTTAGCAGCCACTGCCACTGCAGCCACTGCTGCCACCCTTGCCGCGGCTCGCCCGTAGCTATGCAGCCGCCTCTACTAGTCAGCTTGCAGAGCTGCCGCCACTAGCCAGCCCACTGCTGGGCCACCGCCGTTACCATCCCGCTGCTAGCTAGCAGCCGCCGCTACCACCGGGTTCCGTTGTAGCCCCTGTCCCGGCTGCCCCTGTAGCAGCTGCCCACGCTGTCCCTACTTCTGCCGCCTCTGTCTTCCAGGCCGCAGCTGTCAGCATGGTGTCCCCCGACGTCTTCGTCCTGCGCCTGGATGGGGAGGGGCGGGCAGTCGGTTTCGCCGCCTGGCAAGAGGCAGTTCTCCTCCAGCTCACGAGTCAGCACGTCGATGACGAGTCCTTGGACGCCCACATCTCTGGTGAGCTCCATGCTGTCCCCCGCCCAGGCGCTCTTGCTATTGACGCGGCATCTGCGCAACAGGCTGTGCACGCTGCTGCTCATACTGCCTACTCTGTCTGGGCGTCCCGCGACGCTACTGCTCGCGTAGCCATCCTCAGGTGCCTGCCGGTTGACGAGCACTCCCACTTTGTGGTTGCTGCGTCAGCCCACACACTCTAGCTGGCTATCCTTGCTAGGTACTCCACCCTGTCGTCTGCCACTCTCGGTCGTCTCCTCCTCCCTTTCTTCCACCCTGACCTGGTGTCCTTCACCACTGTAGCAGACTTAGTCAAGCACCTGCGCTCCATCGAGGCCCGCTGGCGTGCGGCTGGTACTGAGGCTCAGCTAGTGCTCGCCCCGCCCCCCCTCTTCGCCACTCTCTATTTCCTTGTCACCCGCCTCCCTGACTGCCTAGCCCCTGCCCGTGACGCGCTCCTCGCTCGTCACCCTCTGAGCTCACCCTTGACCTCTTC